CCTTGTAACAAGGTAACTCCTTGGCATGCCCTGGTAGCTCCTTTGCATGCCCTGTGGGGGCCCCATTCAATGTGATTGTGTGATCTGGTCATCTCGCTATAGCTCAAATTCCTTGCAAAAAAAAAAAAAAAAAGGCACGGCCGAAAAAAAGAGCGGCAAAAAAAAGCGCGGCCGGAAAGCGCGGCAAAAAAAAGCGCGGCCGAGAAAAAGCGCGGCAAAAAAAAGTGCGGCCGAAAAAAAAAAAGAAAAAAAAAAAAAGGTGCTACAACCGCCCTTTTAAAACTCGGGGCCTGATGTTACCGCCTTCTGATGTTTTGACTGCCTTTTCGAAGTACGGCCATTTTTTCGTTGCCCATTATTGTTTTTTTTGCCTTTACAGTTTGAAAGTGTGGTACTACCGCACTTGTTTCTAATATTTGTTCAGGCGGGGTCCCACTTTCCTTGCCAAAAAAAAAAAAAACATCTTTCAGACCCGTTCAACTTTTCTGCTGCGAAACTTCCCAAAACGTGCTATTTCCGCAATTACCCCCCATAAACGGAAGCCCAGCCGTGCAAATAGTCGCTTTACATCCGTACACATGTAGAGATGTCAGCATCAAGATTGTGGTAAAAGTACTTATCCCAATCCTTCCCTAGCTGCCAGCAAAGTAATCCTCTCAAACCTTATCTTCAGGGCATACTCACAATTGCACTTTTGCCCTCAAGTCTGGTTCGTAATTGCGGCCAGACACATCCAGGTTCGGCTATAAACGTGAGAAGATACATTCAAGAAGGTTCCATTGGGAGTATGCCCTCAGTGATTCTTCACCGCTTATCCCTCATTGTCGAGGCCAAATTTAAACAGAGCTCCGGTGGCAACGAAGCCAAGTACCAGCCGGGGAAAAAAAGGAGTTTAACAACGATGATAACGTCATCAAATAATAAAAGGATGTAGTAGTAGGCGTTACTCTCACAGAGAATAGTACATCTTTGCACACACCTGTGTCGCACACTTGTGTCGCACACTTGTGTCTGTCGCACGCTGTGCAACAATCACCCTTCTTCCCCTGCTGTAGTCATGATGGGCTTGCTAGTACATAAAGAAGAGGGAGTCTTTGGCACACGCTTACAGCATCACAATGGAGTAAGGGCGGTGCTGAAGATACACCGTTTCACTCTATGATTCCATTTATGCATATTAACGCAAGTGTAAGGGAACTAGATGAGCTCAGCGATGAGAACTACATGCAGCAAACTGACATTTAATAGATCCGAGCAATACCAAGGTTGAACCCCTATTATGGGCCCGCAATATTTTGTTGTCACTGATATAATAATACCCTATTCTGTACAGAAAAGCAAGTTCACCCACAAAAAAAAAAAAAAAAAAAAAAAAAAAAGAAAAGAAAAGAAAAGAAAAGAAAAGAAGAGAAAAGAAAAGAAAAGAAAAGAAAAGAAAAGCAAGTTCGGCTCAGGAAACGGCTGCAGAAGAAAAATTTACTTCGGAATGTTCAGGCGACAATTCACAGCAGGTCGTCAAACGGCTTCTGACGAAACTACTTCAGAGTCTTGAGTTTGAATCTTCGGATGAATCTTCCGATGAACCTTCAGATGACGATTCACAAGCTATTGGAGGCTGCAACGCTGAAGATTCATCTGCAGAAACTACTTCAGCAAGAGATAAACTTTCCGTAAAATGTGAGCGCAGCTGTTGCGTTGTCTTTTTCTGAACAAGAGTGAAAAGCAAAACGAAATGAAAAACACTGAAGATCCACAGATGCCGCAACCTCATCTACATATCTACATAATATTATTAAGGCTGAGCCTCGGTACTTCGTACCGACGTGTCTGTCTCGTAGTTCCATACCCTTTTTTTTTTTTTCTTCTTTTTTTCCATCCTCGGTACCATATAGTCTTCTCTGTGGCTTCGTCTGGGACATCGAAAAGAAACGGAGAGCAGTTACTGTAGGACACAGAGCGCATCGTTGCCAACTCTCACAATGCAAAGACGAGACTGAGTCGGACGTCCTTGCATTCCAGTGATACCACCCTTCATGTTTGGTTATCACACTGATATCATGATGATATCCGATTCTGTAGTACGGAAAAGCAAGTTCGGTCGAGGAAACGCATCCAGAAGAAAGAAGCTACGTCGGAATGCTCAGACGAAAATTCACATCAGTTCCTCAAACGGCTCCTGAGGAAACTACTTCAGAATCTTCAGACGAACAATGTACGCAGCCCTCAGGTGATCTGCAGGTGAGTCTTCAGGTGCAGCTTCCGGTGAAACTTCAGCTGAATCTTCAGATGCATCTTCCACTGAAACTTCAGCTGAATCTTCGGATGATGGATGATTGACAAGCCATGGAGGATGGAACACTGCTAGAGAGTCGGACTACAGACTCTCCGCCGGACAATGTTTTTTTTTTTTTTTTTTTTTTTTTTTTTTTGGAATCTCCGGCGGACAATGTGAGCATAGTTGTTGTGTTGTCTTTAGGAAGAAAGAAATAAAAT